TGTGTCTGCTATTTTAACCAATATGATGTGTTGAACTAGAGCTGCTATTTGTAAAGGTTAACTTTTGTGCAACATAAAACTGACTAAACCCGACTAAAACTATCACATATCGTAATGACTAAAATGCGACTAAGACTACTAATAGCTTTTGTCCTGAAGACTAAGACTAAATCTAAGATGGCTGGCAAAAACAACACTGCTCAGGGGCCTTAGTGCTGAGGTCCCATGGGCTTGCTGCTGTGGGTCGGTCCTGCCCAAGGTGGACCCGGATGAGAGACCCAGAGTGAGAGAGCCTGGGGTGCTCCAGCTCTTAGTGGGGACCCCACAACAGAGAGCATAAGAAGGGGGAGGAGGAAGGCCCTGCTCATACTTGGGGCTGAGGATGTTCAGTAGTTGGGGCGGGGGAGGCAAACATTCAACCTTAAAAGACCCAAGTAGACAGGCTTAAGAGTGAATTGTCTTTAACAATGTAATTTGCAAAAATTAAAAGGGAACAATGATTGACAATTAGGAGGACCACTTATTTTGATGATCCACCCAGAAAAAGTACATCCTGCCCTATAACTTTAACATATGAAAAGATTGCCTACGGAGTGTTTAAAGGAAACTAGGAGAGAAATGAAGTATAGGTCTACTGGATACTAGTCAATTGTGTAAAAAAAATGAACTTTGGAAAGATAAACAAACAATAAATCAATACGTGTCTGAGAGTAGTAAAATGAAAAGTGTTTTTATTCTGTTAAATATTATATCTCGAATATTATCCTTTCTAAAGAAACCGAAGACATTAAGTAATTGTGGAAAATACCAGAACTATATCAGGATATGTGCTGATAATAAGGTAGTTTGTTAGTTTTACATGGCGATTTCGTGTTTCCAGGTTAGCTTGTGTCTGTTCCTAACCCCGGGGTTCCACTCACAATATGGCGGATACAGGTCGGTTCAAAGGAGAGATGACGCGCATTGTTTAACAGTTACATGGAATCTGGGCTTAAATAAGTTAATCCATTAGTCACCTTATAAACGTACATTTGACATGAAAGCATGCAGATGTAATATGGAAAGGACAATTTACCAGCTTCAAGGATGAAGTGTTCCGTCTTACATTCTTTGTCCTCCTCTTTAACTGTTTCGGGAATCTCTCCTATTGCTGCGCTCTGCCACAGTTGGAGCCGCTGTGTAAACATGTTTGCTCTTAGCTTATCTTTCAATGTTCGTTTAACATTTACTAAGCAGTTCGCGCTCAGTTTTCACCCAAACTCTTGAAAAAAAAAAAAAAAAAAGAGTTAAATGATTGCTCTTCTTTACTAAACAGGGATAAACTCATCAGCAGGACTTCTGCGTCTTCTTCTTCTACTACTGTTTCTTCTTCTGTGTTTTTGTTTCTTTTATTGGCGGTCGGCAAAAAACTTTAGGGTTGCATTACCGCCACCCACTGGACAGGAGTTTGAACTGAATGTCGACCTAAAAAAAAAAACAATAATATAATAAATCACTTAAAAACAACAACAAAAAGAGGCCTTCTTCTACTTTTGTATTTTAATGCTGTAATAACATACATCCAAGAGTTTTGCCCTAATTTTTATTAATTCTGTTCCTTCTTTATATTTCCTATCACGTATGCCCAAAGTTTGTCCTCAAGGGCCGCTGTCCTGCAGGTTTTAGAGGTTTCCCTGCTTCAGCAAAGATGATTTTCATTGATTGCTGATTAACAGGCCTTTGCTGAACTGCAATCATCAGAATCAGCTGTGGACCACCATGGTTTGCGAACAGAAAAAACATGTTTTTTTTTTCTGTTCAAGGACAGAGGGTATGCTGTAACATTAAAATATTGTATTTTCATTTTGCATACACAGAGTCTATACAAAATGAAAGCTTTCATGACATTTCCATCCCTTATGGTGCAGAACTGATCAAACGTAAACAATGTAAACATGGTGCAAAGAACGCATTGATATGGAAGTTCAGAGCATTAAATACATATGATGCAAATATGCAGTGTTTTGATTTGGTGTTATTAGTGTGATGCAGAGTCTGTGAAACAGACAACTGTCAACAATCTGTTTTGTGATCATTCCAATAGCAACCAAAACATTGAGGCTATCCTAGTTCAGCATGTGCACTTGATGATTATAAAGACTTCCCAGCTGTGTCTGTAGAGACGCTTTAACTCAGCCTGGCTCAGGAACAGCAAGCATCAATGCAAAATGCAATCCATCACATTTCTGACCTTAGCACAAAATATCAGGCCTGTTTTATCGCACTTTTCAGTATTATACAATGTCCAGCGTGAGACACAAATATCCTCAAAACAAAGGAAAGGTGATTTATTGTATCACGGATCTTTTGAATACCACTTTAACTGCCTCTGCTTTATTCCTGCATTTGAACATGTTCGTGTTACAGAAGTGTTAGAGGAATGGCAAAAGTCCACAGTTCTTTGCAAATGAAATATTTTTCCTGTTGGTCTATTACATTTTTGAGGTATCATCAGAAATTTCTGTCAAGTGCCAGTTCACAATTTAAAAAAAAATCTTAAGACAATGATGAGCCATTAAAGCTTCATGGCTTTTAAGCCACTGTCTTGATGACGAATAGGTTGAACACATTTCTCATATTCTTTCTCTTGGGCCTTTTAACAATGGGGCTAAATACAGAAATTCGAATTGGAAAATGATAACTATTAAGTTGATTTTTTATAAGGTGGAATTTATACATGAACAATCTTTTGTGTCCTATAAAAAACACAAAACAGTCATTTGTTTAAGGCTGCTTCATTCGTAACAATGCAACATATTTCTATATAATAAAGATGTTTGCTACAACCACATTCTTTCCTTGCTGTGACTTTCCTTGACAATATAATGTGAGTATCAACCACATAGGCAATAATAAGGTTAATGATAATGCTCGCACATGGTAGAAGTGCAGAAACATGAATACAGGCAAAGCAAAACTATTTGTGCATTCACAGTCAGGAATTAACACCAAACACCCTGAAAGGGCCAGGAAGAAGTAAATAAAAACAAAAAAAATACAAGTGAAGAAAAGGAAAGAGCTGAGCCAAATAGTTTGTTCCTTTCTGGAGTAAATTATGTGATCAGAGTCTTGTTCAGTTTAAACAATATTTTATAATATTAGAGTTTGGAGTTTCTGCAGCAAGTGACCTCTGGCCTGAATTACTGACATTGGAGAATAGTCGTGTGCCACATAATGGTAAATTAGCCCTATCTGCAATCTCTTTCCATTTGTGAGAGATGCTGATGCTGCACTCTCCACTTATGTGAATGCAACGGGAAATCCCTCTTTGCATCACTGAGCTGGGATTTGTTTCAAAAAGCTGGTTTACTAAAAGCTCTAAGTGTTTTAAACCTAAAATTATTGAAACTCTGTGTTTTCCGTTTCACATTGAGAGTTTATTCATGCTCTGTTTCTGTTACCATAGTAACATCCTACCCAGAACTAAACAGGTGGTGAGCAGGTTTTCTTCAGTAAGCTCAGAGTGTCCTCAGTCTCCGCTCTCCTTATAGCCAATCACGTTGCTTTATTTCCTGATTTATTCAGGAGATTTTTTTGTCACAGGTTTTTGCATACAATAAAGAAAATCAGTCACTAAACCGTTAGACACATTAGGTTTTAAAAAACAAATAATTTATGTCTGTTTTATGTGCATCTTATAAGAGAGTGGTCTGCACTATTTATCAGAGAATTCATTATTTGTAGGGAAAGCATTCTACAAGTAGTCTAGTAAACTAGCCCCATCCGCCAGGGGCCAAAATCATTTTTGCCTGCGAGTAAAATACACATTTAATGTCACATTTAGCCTGGTTTATCAGGCTATTCTACAAACACTGGTGGGGATTGTTTTATGTATATTATTTTTTTCTTCTTAGCATTTAAATTAAATTTATTATATTTAATACATAATAATGTATTAATTAACTAATAAAATAGTTAAATAATAAATAAATTATCAAATTATTATCTAACTAATAAATAAATCAATTATTTATTAGTAGATAGACCATCACAAACAAAATGTAGAACATGTACAGATGAACTATAAAACTTGTGAACGTGAAAGGGAGTATTGGGAAATGATGGAAATATAAAGGATATTAACCGATTAAATAAAGCATTAATCATTTATCTACAGAATACAAAATAAAAAAAATAGAATTTGATGTACAGTAATGTTACTACACACTCATGTACAGTAGGTGGCGGTATGCACCTTAAAGTTGCCTGCGATCCGCCATAATAGAAAAGAACAAGAAGAAGAAGACCATCACTGGATGATAGTGATGAGTAGA